TGTAAGAAAAATCATTTGTTTTCTTGACCACAAAATGAATCTAGATCAATTTAAAAGAATTTAGATGATACATGATGTGTCACCTGATGACACTGGAATTAAAAAGAAATCTCCACAAATATTTGAACTAAATATATATAGAAGTCCCACAAATATTTGAAAATTAAACAACAGAATCTTACATAACAGAGAAATAAAAGATGAGAAATTAGAAAATATAATGGAGTCAAAGTGAAAATATAACACATTAAAGTGTCTGTAATAGGGATAAAGCACTGCCTAGAAGAGCATTTATGGCTTTATATACTTATATTACAAAAGAAAGAATTAACATTAAGGTGATGGGCATATGGAACTTCACTGACCCACCTTCTAGTGACTTAAGCAAAGCTGGAAAAATCTATTTTAAAAAAAACAAAACCCACAACCAAGCTTGGGCATGTGACTGACCAGAGATACCAGCTTCCAGAGTGTCTCACTAAGAAGGAGAAGTTTTAGATGAAAGAGAAAAAAATCTTTCGGAAACTATCACAAGAGCAAACAGACAACCTATGGAATGGGAGAAAATATTCACATGCTACATATCCGATAAAGGGCTGATAACTAGAATCTATACAGAACTCAGGAAAATCAGCAAGAAAAAATCAAACAACCCCATTAAAAAGTGGTCAAAGGACATAAACAGAAACTTTTCAAAAGAAGACAGACTAATGGCCAAAAAAATGTGAAAAAATGCTCCACATCTCTAATCATCGGGGAAATGCAAATCAAAACCACAATGAGATGTAACTTAATTCCAGTGAGAATAGCTTTTATCAAAAAGTCCCAAAACAATAAATGTTGGTGTGGATGTGGAGAGATAGGAACACTCACACACTGCTGGTGGAACTGCAAACTAGTGCAACCTCTGCGGAAAGCAATATGGAGATACCTCAAAGAGCTACAAATGGAAATGCCATTTGATCCAGCAATCCCATTACTGGGCATTTACCCAAAAGAACAAAAGACGTTCTATAAAAAAGACATCTGCACTAGAATGTTTATAGCAGCACAGTTCACAATTGCAAAGATGTGGAAACAACCCATGTGCCCATCAATACGTGAGTGGATTAATAAAATGTGGTATATGTATACCATGGAGTTCTACTGAGCCACAAAAAACAATGGTGATCTAGCACCTCTTGTATTATCCTCGACAGAGCTGAAGCCCATTCTACTAAGCAAAGTATCCCAAGAATGGAAAAAAAAGCACCACATGTACTCACCATCAAATTGGTATTAACTGATCAACACTTATGTGCACATGTGGTAGTAACATTCATTGGGTGTCAGGCAGGTGGCGGGGGTGAGGAGGGGATGGGTATGTTCACACCTAATGGGTGTGGTGTGCACTGTCTGGGGGATGGACACACTTCAATCTCTGACTCAGGTGAGGCAAATGCAATATATGTAACCTAAACATTTGTACCCCTGTAATATTCTGAAAAAAAAAAAAATAAAAAACTATGGAGACTAAAAAGATCAGTGTTTGCCAGGGTTTGGGAAACACAAGGGATGACTTCACAGAGCACAGAGGATTTTTAGGGCGGTCAAACTATTCTGTATGATACTATAATGTTGAATACGTGTCATTATAAATTTGTCCAAATCCATAGAATGTACAACACCAAGAGTGTACCGTAGTGTAAACTATGAACTTTGAGTGATTATGATGTGTCAATGTAGGTTTATCAGTTATAACGAATGTACTGCTCTAGTGGAGGATGTTGACTATAGGACAGGCTATGCATGGGACAGGGAGTATATGGGAAATCTTTATACCTTCTTTTCAATTTTTCGGTGAATGTAAAACTGCTCTAAAATATATTTAAAAAGAACAATATATCAATAACCTAAACTTTCACCTTAAAACATTGGAAAAAGAAAAGCCAACTAAACATAAAATAACAAGAAGAATGTAAGTAATAAAGTTTTGAGTGGAAACTAATAAAGTGGAGATTACATTAGAAAACGGTGGGGAAAATCTAAGAAATTTAAAACTGATTCTTTGGAAAGATCAACGTAACTGACAAACCTTTAGTTAAATTGAAAATGGAAAAAAATAAAGAGACTCATATTTCTAAAATCAGAAATAAATGAAGAGACATGCTGAAGACCTTACAAAATTGAAAAGAATTTTGAAGAAATACACAAATAAGGATATGACAACTTAGATTTTCTCGAAAGATACAACTGTCAAAACTGACCCAATAAGATACAGAAAATTGAATAGATATATCAAAAGAAAAAAGTGGAAATTTGTATCCATAATATTTCCAGTAACAACAATACAATTCTGGGACCAGAGACTTCTTTGAGGATTCTACCAAATATTTAAAAAAGAATGAATACCAATTAAAAAATAATTAATACCAATCCTTCACAAACATTTTTAAAGAATAGAAGAGGATAGAACACTTCCCAATTCATTTTATGAAGCCACTATTACTCTAAAATTAAAACCAGACAAATTTTTCGGAATAAACAAAAACTACCAACCAATATCTCTTATGAATATAAACCTGAAAACCTTCAACTAAATTCTACAATTCTAGCAATATATAAAAAGGATTATACACCATGATCAAATAGGATTTGTCTCAGGAATGCAAGATCAGTTAAACATGTGAAAATCAATTAATGTAATATTCCAATGACAAAATAGTGGCTAAAACTCACATTATCATATTAATAGACAAAGAAAAAGTATTTGACAAGATCCAACACCCTATCTTGACAAAAATACTCAAAAGACCAGGAATGGAAGAGAACTTCCTCAATGTGATAAAGAGATGTGAAATTGTTCTTAATAACGTCAGTCTGGTATCCAGTTCCCCAGAGATGGCCTAAACACTATGTTTTACTCTCAATAGGTTTTTTAGTCCTAATGACGTTTTCTAAGTATCTGTATAAATTAGGATAGGTTAAATTGTCCTGTGGTAACAAACCAATCCAAAAATGTAATTGAACTAATACCAACAAAAATGTATTTTTCAGTAATACAAAGCCTGCTGTACATCTGAATAATTTCCTAGGTTAATTCAAACTTCTGGGGGTGCCATCATCCTACTGCTGAACTCTTACACACCCATCCCTTTGCCTTTGCTATGGCAGAGAACTATGCACAGATTTTCTACTTCCTCAGCCCAGAAGTGTTGTGTATCTATTTTGCTCACTGCCCATTGGACAATACTAGACACAGGACTTCACTCAATAACAAGAAAGAGAAGAAAAAGACATTGGAGATTATTAGTAATGTCTTCCAGAAACAGTACTAATTGTTTATTTCTAGGTTTCTAATTCATATGTGAATTATTATTATTATTGCAATTGGGAATTGAACTAATCCTTAGTATACATTTAATCTATCTAGTTCCATTTGTCTAGTGTTTAAGTTTTGTCTTTATAAAATCAAACTTCCATTTGATTATGACTTCAAATAGAATGGATATTCAGTCCTAAAACACTGATACCCATCTCATCTAAGGTACAGTAAAAGACAAATACAATAATCCACCAAAATAAAGCAGTTAACATATCTTCCTTTACATACATTCAAGCCCAGATAGTCTTAGGATATGATTATGTAAATCACTGGCCAATAAATGGATCAATTTCTAGATTCTGGCCACTAGTCCCTGTTTCCTCTAGGACGCTACCACAAATACTCATGAAACTCCTGGAAAAGGTATATTGGTTGTGAACACTGAGATTTTTAAGTTACTAACTTATTTATGGTGATGTGAAGTAAAATATTTAATAGAATAAGTATCTTTAATGAAATTGAAATTTTTACATTAGATGCCCTAATTTCTCATGGGTGCCTACTTTTCAAAAATATTAATAATCTCTGTATTCTGTGAACTTAAAATATGCTATCACATAAAGCCTCTCAATGTTTATACAGTATATCTATTATACAATAAAAATTACTCAGGCACCAAAAGTAATATTATATGACCAAAAACAAACATGGAAAAGAGACAATAGAAACACACTTACAGATAGTAGAGTCAGCTGATCAAGAATTAATGTCACAAATATAAAGGGGAAGGTGTAAAAAAATGATAAAAAGATAGACAATTCTACCAAAAATTTGGTATGAAATACTCAAAGACTATGAAACTGAAAAATACAATTATGAAATTAAGATCTAGGAGGCTTTCCTTTACTGCCTTGTGTCCTTTATATTACCTTCATTGTACATGCACATATGTGTATATAACTTTAGTTGGTGTGGTAGGCTGTGTGTGGAAGGGGTGGGTAATGCCTTCCAAGAGCTTTGTATATTTATGTTTGTGTTACTGATACAATTAGGTGATGCTCTGATATTTGAGAGATTGAAAGTTATCCTTCAAACTCCTTCCTGAGAGAGAATATTGTCTCTCTGTCTCATTTGGTAAAATAAAATCACCAAGGATGTTTTTAGATCAGTTTATATTTATCCAAAGCAATTTAAATATTATTTTTCAAGTAAAAGTATAATGTGTCATTTAAAAAGCAGAGTTAATGAGAAAAACGCTGACAGTTTCATGGTGCTAGTGTCACTGCAATCTAGCTCCTTATTCAAGGCACCAATTAATACAAATTTATATTTAGCTTGTCAAAAAGAAATATTTTTAAAAGTATTATTCAGCTTTTATAATTTTTAGCATAGCCTATCCCTTAATAACAAATTGTTTGTGTTTACACCTGCCGCTGTTCTACATAGTTAGCTATTATAGGTAGAATGACACCTCTCACATAGAATACAGGAGAAAGATGAAATAAATGCATTTATTATCATAGAAACTCATTAATAAATTAGATCAAGACTGAAGCACATCAAGTGTATCTTACATGTAACCTCATTAACACTAAACAATATTAATCAAAATTATTATTTTTTAAAGTTTTTAAGTTTATTGATCCCCTTGTGAGAAACCCACACAACAGCTGCAGATAACGTCACTGCAGCTTCTTTACTCCTTTGGCTTTTTGTCAGCACCAACATTGGCCTTTGCAGTCCCCCTGACTTTCTTCATTCTGTTCTTGCGTTCCTTCAACTGCTTTCTTGATGTCTTTTTTTTCTCATACAGACCATGCCTTGCAAGCCTATGTTTGGGTTCATTTTTCTTTGCATAATCCAAGGAATCGTAAATCATGCCAAAGCCAGTTGTCCTGCCACCACCAAAGTGAGTTCTGAATCCAAATACAAAGATGACATCTGATGTGGTCTTGTACATTTTGGCTAATTTCTCCCCAATTGCTGTCTTTGGTACTGTTGCCTTCCCAGGGTGAAGGACATCGATGACCATTTGTTTCCTCTGAAGCAGTTGGTTGGTCTGAATTTCCAGTTACTAGGACTGTCTCGTTCATGATGGCGGCGGACCCTCACGCAGACAGGAAGGAAAAGAGGGCCTATCCTCGCTGGCCAATCATATCAAAGTGCACAGCAACCAAAATTATTAAGTTGAATATATTTTAGCAGCATTTTATTTCCGAGACAGGTGTATGAGAATATCATTGGTAACATATTTAGAAATACATTTATATTTAGAGATTCATTCGACTTTTCAAATTCCCATGAAATTTTTTGGAATTAAAAATATCTTTCACTCATGTATTGATGGACACTTGGGTTGTTTCCACATCTTTGCAATTGTGAATTGTGCTGCTATAAACATTCGGGTGCAGGTGTCTTTT